TTGAGGATGAAAATACTCGAAACGTTTTAATGTCTTTTGCTTCTTGTCAGCATTTGTAACTCGTGTTTGCTTCCAACACTACGATTATATCATTGTATAGTTAACATAAATAATTTTATTTATTTTTTTTTAATCCTTCGTGACCCATATCTTTATTTTCCATCGAATTTATTTCTTTTTATCCTATTCGATTACAATTCTATGTAATACTGGTTGTAAGTAGCAAGTAGGTATATATTTTTTTTAACTTTTAGTACTGTTAGCAAGAAAATGGACATTCCAATAAATATGATCCTTGTCAAAAAATCACGAAATCATGTTACTATAATCAGTTAATTTTTCATAGAATTGTTGCATATATTCAGGAGCATAGTATTTTGTTATTTACCATAATTTTTATTTAGACGGTGATTGTCTCTGCTAAATTTGGTAGGACAGCAAAAACATGTGGCCACATTTCCAAATAAAATGTGTTTTACATTTAGATGTCGCTATAATGGAAATTTTCATATCATACAGACTGGATCTATGTGTGAAAGTATTTAATAAATTCTCAACTTATTGTTGACAACAACCCGATAAGCAGCAATGTATGCAACATAAAACTACATTCGCTCGGAACCGACTATAAATGAGGTTTAAGCTGTTTATAACTTCTCAAAACCGTGTGCTAGCACATGAAACCGCAAGAAAACTTAAGAGAGAATTAATAAACGGGGTTTCTTTGTGTTCTACTACAATTTATTTCAATTGTTTTTATACCTGCAAAGGAGGATATATTAACCTTGTCATTCCGTTTCAAGATACAACCCACATTAAACCACTCGTCCGACAGCTGTTAAAATCATTTCAGTAACAGCACATTACATTGTTTACAAGCGTACAAAAGCATTTTGGTGAAAATTTTCCAAAAAAAAAGTTATTCGTGATGGAATTCAAGCGTAATAGTGTAATTTCTTTATATTTGGCTGGAAAATCACAAGTGACTATCGTTGAAGCACTCCAGCATTTAAGGGTGAATAAATCTTTTGTGTCTCGTACCATCGCTCGTTACCGTGATAATGGTAGCGTCAAGGAAATGGACGGAAGAAAACAGCAAGATCAAAAGAAATTGTTCGAAAAGTAAAGAAGCAACTTCATCGAAACCCGCGTCACAGTTGCCGAAAAATGGCTCGTGAGCTGAACATATCGCAATATTCCATTTGCAAATATTGAAAAATGAGCTTGGGGTAAACCCATTGAACTTCCAAAAAGTGCTGGAACTTACACCGCAACAGAAAGAAAATAGACTCAAAAGAGGTAAAGAGTTGCTTCGCTTGGCCGTGGTGAACTGTCGAATTTGAATTTCTCCGATGAGAAAACATTCGATGTCCAGCAGTTTGTAAACAAACAATGGACACAAAAATCTCCGGATACCAATCCGTTGGACTATTGTGTCTGGAGTATTTTGGAAAGCAATGTTGGCACAAAAAAATACCAAAGTGTCGATCACCTCAAGCAAGTGCTTTGCCGGAATTGGGCCAAAATACCGCAGAGCAACATTGAAGGCCATAATTCGTGCAAATGTGACCAAATCGAACAAATCTAAACCTATTCTAACATTTGATGCTATTTCCGAAATTTTTAGCTTTCTTTTAAAAAAATATAAAAAAAAATAAGCATTATGGCGTTTGACTTTGTTGCAGATTTTTTATCTCACCCTGTATAACGGTACATCTTCGTATTCGGTATTTTGATGATTTTAGTTACATTATTCTACGGAATTGTTTCAAATTTGGTATTTGAAGTTCGTAATGGGTACTACAACCCATGGCAACAAATTTCGTAAGCAGGTCCACGTCTTCGTATAGTCTCCATATAACAGTTTTCGTTTAAATGGTAGTTTCCGGAAGTTTTTTGAATTTTTTCAAGTTCCTTCTAAATGTTGGAGGGTATTAAAAGATCTACGCGGCCGAACTTAGCTGCTTTTTATTTATTTATTTTTTTTTTTTTTTTTGTTTTTTTTTTTTTGAATATTAATTGACTTTTATGCCCTCCACCTTGGAATGCAAGTTATATTAACTTTGTCATTCCATTTGTAACATCCTTAAATATTCGTCGTAGACGCCATAAAGTGTATCTATTCATAATCCGCATAAAATTCTAAGTCGATTTAACGATGTCCGTCTGTCTGGCTGTTGAAATCACGATACAGCCCACATTATCTGACGTAGAGCGCCAAAATTTAGCAGAGCAATTTGAATTGTGTCTAGGATGGTTGGTATTGAAAATGAATGAATAAATATATCGGTCCACGTTCTATATAGTATAGTAGTATAGTCCCCATATAACGGTACCTCCCGATATTCGATATTTTGATGATTTATGCCATATTTTTTCACGGATTTGTCTGAAAATTGGTATTTGTAGGTCATAACGGGTCCCTGTGCGTGTGTATAGGACCACGTTTTGGTATAGCCCCCATATAAAGGTACCTCCCGATATTCGGTATTTATTTTTTTTTTTGCCACATTTTTTCACGAATTTGTCTAAAAATTGGTATTTGTTGGTCATAATGGGTTCCAGCTCCGGTGGCGAAACATTGCATGTATGGGTTCATGATTTGGTATGGCCCCATATAAAGGTACCTCCCGATATTCGGTATTTTTATGATTTTTGACACATTTTTCAAGAATTTCTCTGAAAATTGGTAGTTGTAGATCATAATGGGTCCTAGTTCGTGAATGTCTAAAAGTTTGTATTTGTGGGTCATAATGAGATCCAATGTTTCCTTTATCCTAAGGTGGAGGGTATTGAAAGTTTGGCCCGGCAGAACTTAATGTTTTTTACTTGTTTTTATTTATTTATTTATTTATTTATTTTTTTTTTTTTTTTTTTGATTCACACTAGTGGTATTGTTTCTTGGTGACTCATAGTGAAATTTGGTTAAGAGTATCTTTGACTCCAATGTTACCCTTCTTAATCATGCTCTGCAGGAGAATTGAATTCCCGCCGTTTAGGGTGCCATAATTTTAATTTTTTTTTAATTTTATTGAATGAAAACAACAAATGTCGGAAACAGCATCAAATTTTATAATAAGTTTAGATTTGTAGATGATGACTTGCAAAACGCTTCGAATGCAACCCTCAGCTTTGTTGTGCTGCTATTTGGGCGTAGGACACAATGATGCGGGATATAGTATTGATTACCACCCGCATCTCTTGATTGTATTTTCGTCATGTGTCCCAGATCCTCATTCTCCTTCATAAATTCAGCAAACTACTCGCGAAAAATTTGCATCCTTAGATAAGCGACGCTCCAACGCATAGAATCTGGAAGCTGCAATATTCAAGGATTCGAAAATCTTCTCAGGGTCGTTTGCAAACGGCAATCGCACCACAAACCGACCATTCTCATTTACTGTTGTATTTTGGTTGAAGTGATTTTCACACGGTTCTTCTGCTATTGCCAACTTCAGATCTTCACAAACATCATCTTGTTCCCAGAACTTCTTCAATAAATCTTCTAGAGCACGTTCATCTTATCCAAAAGTTTCCGATTCAGCCTGAACTCTTCCACCAGTAATCCGCCATAGTTTTGAATTCTTCAATATAGAAAGCTTATTGAAGCTTCACAAGAACTATGTTGTGAGAGAATCAGATTGATGTAGAACTCTGCTCCAAGTAGTAAGACAATCCTGGTCGTTTGATAAAAATAGGGATCTGTCAGCTTTAGGTTTACTGGAATTGTCATCCTTGAAGCAATTTAAACACATCTTGTGTCTTGCAGTCCATTTCTGTCTTTCGGGCGCTGTCATGCCAAGAATTGTTTGCAGTAATATAGGGGGTTGGCCACCTTTGCACATGTGACATCTACGGATCATGGTGGAAGCAGCTGTTGCTGACGGTTTGCTCCTCTGAATCCCATTGACAGCTTCAAATGATACGAAGCGACTCCTCAAACATTTCATGAAATGCTCCATCGTTTGGAGCTCTTTGGAATCCACAATCGAATGCTCATACAACACATGTAGTCTTGTACATCCTCTTTGTTAGGATGTGGATTAAGAGTGTATCCCATTCTTTTGGCTTTACTCCTAGACCCATCAATGCCAATAACGATTCATGAAGACTGTTAGGAAAGTTTTTCACTGATCTGCTATCGCTAGACAGGTTGGGCAGGTTTAGCATTCTCTAAAGTATAGTTGACACTTGAGCTCTCTTGTTGTTGTAGCTGTCTTGGAGTGTCTTCCAGGCAATGTCGTAATTCGCCTTGGTCAACTTGTAGTGCCTTGAGAGTTTCTCGGTTCCCCAGTCACGTTGGCCTTGAAATACCACATTTTATGCACTTGTGGCAAGGCTTACTCGTTGATCATTTCCAGAAATTATAGTATTTTCCGACGTATAGATGACACTTGAGCTCTCTTGTTGTTGTACCTGTCTTGGAGTGTCTTCCAGGCAAGGTCGTAATTCGCCTCGGTCAACTTGAGGTGCCTTGAGAGTTTCTCGGCTTGGCCTTGAGATACCACATTTTATGCACTTGTGGCAAGGCTTACTCGTTGATCATTTTCCCAGAAATGTCAGCAAACGTCTGCCACTTCAAATAATCCCAATTAAATTGAGGGATTGTAATTTTCGATCGATTAACTTGATTTTCCAAGTTCTCGCCTGATCTATGCTGAGACGACGGATGATCGACCTATGTTAGCGTCGATAGTTTTTCTTTGAACCTTAACGTCTCTTCCTCTAAGAGAACGTATGCTGATGCATTGTAGCCCACCAAGGTTGGGTCATCAAAGTCCTCCAACATTTTGAAGTGGATATCTTCCACGTGTGTCCATAGTTTTTCTATTGCAGCTACTGTCTGACAGGGAGCAGCTTGGCCTAAACTACCTCATATTAGAGTCGGAATGGACTGCCCTCTGACGTCTTTATGTGTGAATCAATTAACCCTTGTTAGGATCACGTCGGGGTCAACAAAAATGTTTATTATTTGTAACTAAAGCTGATATACATAACACTTGAATTTGTAACCTTGGTATATTTACAATTTCTTGCAATCTACCAAGAATCTTTATTTTGGCTTGATATTTATACGTTTTCGATATCATTACAAATAGAATTAAATGTAAAGTAAGCAATAAAATACTTCAGCCAATAGCCCATGCAATTGTGAAACCAACTGAGTTGTTTCTTTATTTGGGTTATTGGCCTGCTTAAAATAAACAATGAAAAAAAAAAACAATTATATGCTGACATAGAACAAAACTTATTAAATAACAAAGAGTAAAATAATTATTTGCAAAAAATTATGTTCTTTTGAACAAACAGTATTTTTCAAGGTTTTTTTTTTGGAAATTTTAAAATTCTCTTTCGAGGTGTTACAAAGGGGATGACAAACTTAATTAAAACCAGTAAAGAAAGTCCTAAAGTCGGGCGGGGCCGATTTTATGATACCCTACACCACTTTGCCAATTTAGTTGAGCTCCACTTAATAATTAAACGTTTTTATGGGAGAATTCAATCATTCACTCTATGATTATAATTATAATTTAAAATTCAAAGGACTAAATATGCCGAAGCATTTGTATCTTTTAAATTCGGACTTGTATTGCCCATTTGGTGCGAAATTAATTTGAAATCGGATAAAAATATATATGGGAACTATATCCAAATCTGAACCGATCTCGATAAAATTTGGCAAAGATATTTCTGAGCTGTATTTGATATATTTCCCTGAATATCGTTGTTACGGAGTGCATATTACGGCTGTGGGTAACAAATACAATAAATCGGATGAACAATATATATAGGAGCTATAGCTATATCTGAACCGATTTTGATAAAATTTGACATACTTATTTTCAGGCCCAATTTGGTTGTATGTGCAAAATTCCATACTATTCGGGCTGATATTACACGTTTGGTGCACAATAAAAGGCAAATCGGACGAAGTTATATATGGGAGCTATATCCAAATCTGAACCGATCTCGATAAAATTTAGCAAAGGTATTTCTGAGCTGCATTTGATATATTTCCCCAAATATTGTTGTTACAGAGTGCATATTACGGCTGCGGAGGACAAAAATAACAAATCGGATGAAAAATATAGAGCTATAGCAATATCTGAACCGATTTCGATAAAATTTGGCATAGTTATTTTCAGGCCTAATTTGGTTGTATGTGCAAAATTCCATACTATTCGGGCTGATATTACACGTTTGGTGCACAATAAAAACAAAATTTGCAAAATTTCATCTGAATCGGATAATAAATGCGACCTGCATTTTGTTCACAAGAATACATGGTCAGACGGACGGACGGACAGACGGACTGACATGCATACATCAACTCAGAAAGTGATTCTATGCAGATCATCAAAAGGAACTATGGGTCTATCTCGTTTCCTTTTGCCTGTTACAAACAAATGCACAAAGACATAATACCCTGACCACCTTGTGGTGTAGGGTATAAAAATCAGCAATTTCGCCCAGGACGAACTTTGGATACAGGACGAATTGTGGATATTCTTGATCTGCTTAAAATTCTACGTCGATTTAACGATGACCGTCCCTCTGGCAGTCTATCCGTCTGTGGAAATCGCTCTAGCTTCCGAAGGAATTGAAGTAGGTATTTAAAGTGGGCTATAAACATCCACGTTTAGGTATTAGGGTATATACCTAAACGCATAACTCTACATCTCTATATTCGGTACATATTGTCTTCGTATAGCCCTCACATAGCGGTACCTCCTTATATTCGGTATTGTGATGAGTTTGGGGACTTATTCACCGGAATCGTTTTAAATATTGTATTTACAATTCGTAACGGGTATTACAACTTGTGACTGAGAGTTGACTATGTATGTCAACGTTCTCGTATAGCCCCCAATCTAACAGTACCTCCCCATATTCTGTATTTTGATATGACATTATTAATCGGAATTGTTTCGAATTTCGTATTGTAAGTTCCTAATAGGTGCTGCAGCCTGTGACAGAAAACTGCGTATGCAGGTCAACATCTTCGTATAGCCCGCATATAAAGGTACCTCCGTATATTCGGTATTTGGATGATTTTGCAGCATTGTTCGCCGGAATTGTCTCAAATTTTCATATTTGATGTTCGTAATAGCCTATGCACGACCACTTCTTCGTACAGTGGAGGAGTTCACCTCTACAATTATTACGAAGTGTATACCAAAAACGAAAGCGTAAAAAAATTAAATTTTATGACACATCGTTTCATTGTTCAATGTAGAAAAAAATAAAAACAATTTTTACCAAAAAACAAGTAAAAAAGCAGTAAGTCCGGCCGGGCCGAACTTTGAATACACTTCACCATTTGGAACGAATTAGGCAATTTTCAAAAAAAAATCCATTAAAAATTCTGTTAAAAGCTTTAAAATAACTAATATCAGAAGGTGCCGATATATGGGTGGATATACGATATTGTGGACCTATATAGACAAATCTATTTCTGGGGGGAAAAGTACTCACCAAAGACTCCTTGTGTAGAATTTCGTTGAAAAATGTGGCTAAAATCATCAAAATACCGAATATCGGGGGGTATACGATATTGTGGACCTATATAGACAGTTCCCTTTCAAGGGGCAAAGTGCTCACAAAGAACTCCTTGTATAGAATTTCAGGCAATTCCGTTTAAAAATGTGGCTAAAATCATGAAAATACGGAATATCGGGGGGGGGGCCGTTATATGGGGGATATACGATATCGTGGACCTATGTAGATAATTCTTTCCCAAGAGATAAACTACTAACAAGGAACTTCTTGTGTGGATTTTCAGAAAATACCATTGAAAATATGGCTAAAATCATTAAAATGCCGAATATCGGGGGATACCGTTATATGGGGGATATACGATATCGTGGACCGATATAGCGCATCTTCGAACTTGACCTGCCTGCAGACAAAAGAGAGATCTGTGCAAAATTTTAGCTTCCTATCTCAATTTGTTTTGACTGTAGCGTGATTAAAACAGACGGACGGACAGGGCTAAATGGTCTTAGAATTCTACGCTGATCAAGAATATATATACTTTGTTGGGTCTAAAATGATTAAATGGAATGACGAATTTAATATACCCTCCATACTATGTATAGTGGTGGCATAAAAAAATATTTAAAAAAAATCTTTAGTTTTGAAACAATTTTATCGTAGACGGTTGAGGATTAATACATAGTTGTGACAAAACTATATATTTTTGTTTCCATGTGAGAATCTTCGAAACACCCGGCCCTCTGAGGTAATCTGCAATATTGATTCTAACAAAATCAATGTGCGTAAGAAGTTTTTGCAAAAACTCTAATGATCGTTCCTCGCTAAGTAACAACACTGCTCCTTGTCCAGGTTTTTGCAAACTTTCTTCCGTGTCCAAAAGCTCTTGAGGTATTAAATCGTTGACTGTTAAATAGTTTTCTATGGCCTTAAATAAGTTCAAATGATTTACCACATCTTGATTCTGTTTGGCATGCAATTCAATGTACTTCAAAAAATGTAGTGGATTCAAATCGTTTAGAATTGACAGAAGAGGATAAAATTTGATAGATAGTTTCTGTAAGAGAAAATATTCGTAAGATAAATCATATTAAAGTAGACAAGAATACTTACAGCTTTAACTTTTCCCAGTAACTCCAAGTTATGTAAGTCTATAGCAACAGGAAAAATTTTTATCGCATTATTGCAATCACTTTGATCATCCCCTATGAAGCTTTTCAAATGTTCTACGCATAATTTTGAGATGGTCTTGAACAAATATTTATCACACAGCTTATACAAGCTGATCGTATCGCTGAGATCCAGCTCGTTCAGTTCTGTTTGGGTATCGCGCAGATTATACAAAATAAGACGTAAATTACGAAATGTTTTCGGATCATCGTCGGGAAGAGGAATTTCCGTACTTTTAGCTTCTAGAAAATGCCCACTTAACATTGATTCGAAAACGTCAGAGTGTAAGCTAAACATTAGTTTGTGTCCAAATATGGTTTGGGCTTTTCCAAGATTTCCACCAATAATAAATGTACAATCGACAGTGAAAGCGTTATTGATCATGGCCTCCAACTTAGGTGGCATTCTGTAAAGACATCTAAAACAAGATAAGACAGATAAATAAAATCGTAAGAAAAGAATAAACAAGTTAAAAAGCAGTAAGTTCGGCCGGGCCGAACTTTGAATACTCTGTGGGTAAAATCATCAAAATACCGAATATCGGGGTGTGCCGTTATATGAGGGCTATAATATATCGTGGACCTATATAGATAATTCTCTGCCGAGGTATAAAGTACCCACAAGGATCTCCTTTCAGACAATTCCGTTGAAAAATGTGGGTAAAGTTACCAAAATACCGAATATTGGGGGTACCGTTATATGGGGGATATACGATATCGTGGACCTATATCATCGAGGATCATTGTCGATTACTACTACTACATCTACAATTATTTCCAATGAGAGCAGAGTCTCGTATGTATCAAAGTGAGCTAACCAACAACAAACACCGCCCGGTGGCATCTATGGTCTCTGACGAGGGAAGTATGCCGAGGAGATGCCCGTTGTGTCAATCAGCATCCGTGATTGACTGGACTCGGGAAGTTGACGGCCAACTTAAACACTGCCGCCCACCTTGATACATTTCAATGTATTAACAAGTGCAAGTTTAAATCAGTAATATAGCAACAGTTAAACTTAGCTATAAGTTCAGTTAGCTAAGATCAGGTTTATGTGAGCATTTTATTCAGTTCAATTCATATTTTATAAAAATTCAATAAATACAATAATAAAAAATGTTGTTTAGTGAGGGACGGGACCCGAAAGAACCCATCCAAAGGTGGTATATTGGGTCGTAGGCAAGTCGGGTTGAGCAATTACTCGAGGGGAAATAATTTTTGAATAAATTTCTGGACCGAGAACCATTGCGATTGGTCCAGCCTTGTCGAACGTAGGAACTGCGAGTTCGAGACCAACGAACGATTCGCGTATTGCGGGGGAAATCGACACTGACGGAGTCACACCACGGGTGATATTCGCAACACTAGCCGTTACAAAATGTCTCTGGACAAAATCAAACCGCGATATTATAAGTAAGTCAACGTACTCCAGCTCATTTACTTTTGTTGTCGGCCATCGTAACTGTTGAACAAGTGAAGCGCAAACTTGGCTAATTGAACAACAGGGGTCAAGCAGCGCCCTTACCGGAATGTTGGAATGTGGCAGACAGAGACGGACCAATACGGTTGGGGAGAGAGACAAAATTCGACCCATAGGCACTACTGATGCCGGTATAACATGATGGAGTGGTGGTGGGAATATACCTCTAGGCACAACCGATGTTGGATTATTGCGAACCGCACGCGAGTTTTTCTTAGAACGGTTTCCACGAGTTTTGTGCAAAAGGGAATGGTGGCGGTCGGTGCAATGTCTACACGATAGGCGGACTGGACAATTTTTTGACAGGTGGTCCGGACGCAAACAATTATAGGAGTAACGATTATAAGCTACAGTACGCAAGCGTTTTTCCAACGACATTTTTCTAAACACAGAACATTTATATAGTGGATGCCTTCGATTACAGATCCTACAAGACGCCATAGGTAGTTTCGACATGTGTGTTAAGCGGTTCGAGGCTGATGTGGTTGGCTTAGGTTCAGCATTGTGGCGGGTAAGGACTTCCCTATCAGCATCAACATTGGGAGCGGATGTGGAAGCAACCAGATTCATCACCAACCCTACTATTGGCTTTATTTGATTGGTGGCCTTTACAGTATTTTTTGCTTACCTGCACAATCAAAAATTGCACGACATCTTGTGCAGCAATGCCCAAAATGCAGGTAGCTTCATTGCATTTATCTGCACAATGAAGCAGGTATCTTTAATTTTACTTACGTGCACAAAAAGTGCAGTTGTCTTTAATTTTCTATTCGTGCACATCAAAGCAGCAGCAGCATAACCATCTTTTAGTGTGCGAGAGGTAGCGAGAATATGTTTTTAATGCATGCTCTTTTCTTGTGTTGTTATTGTTTTTGCGAATACAAAAACAAAAACGACGTGGTAGTTTTTAGTGTCTTTTTTGAGTTTGCAAAAATTTTTTTGTGCAGATAAATACAACTTTTGTAACCAAATTAAAAAAAATTACCAAATTTTCGAGGCAGGAATGTCCAATGTGCAGCTATCGATTGGGCACTTAAATACAATTCAAATAAAGGGATTCAGAAAAAAATGGCATAAAAAAAGTTTTTTGGTCTGCAAAGGCCAATGCGCAGCTAATGTTGATGCAGGTAAATAGAAACCACTGTATCTCCGTTTCTATCTCCCGGTCCGACATCATGACGTCGTCGTAATCTGACAAGATAACTTCGGGGAACAAATCTTGCTGGGATGCCATAGCTAACATAAATGGGAAAAAATGACAACACGAAAAGAAGAAACAAATGGCATGGACTTAGTTAGGCAGTACCACTAACTTCACGACTGGTCGCCTAACTATTCCCTGAAGAGTTCGAACATCTACCACGCGAACTTTACCATCATAGCCGGGGTGAGTTTCCACGACACGTCCTAATTTCCAAGAAGTAGGTGGTAATTTTTCATGACAAATCACAACTAAATCATTAATTTCGATATTTCTCTGTGGATACTTCCACTTGTACGGTTATTTAAGCTCAGAAGATATTCTTCTTTCCACCTTATACAATACTGATGTGTCAAAGCTTTCAATTTACGTAACCTAAACTTAATGGGGATTCCTCAAGAAGGAGTTCCGGTGGAGAAAGCAGGGGTGCACCTATAAGGAAATGGCCAGGGGTAAGCGCGACTAAATCGTCAATGTTATCCGACATAGGACACAATGGTCGAGAATTTAAACATGCTTCTATTCGAGTTAGAATAGTAGAAAATTCCTCAAAGGTATATGAGAACGATTTTACATACCTATTAAGATGCCTCTTAAAACTTTTTACTGCCGCCTCCCAAAGTCCGCCCATACGAGAAGCGCCATCAGGTATGAAACGCCATGTAAGTTCTTGATACCCCAAAGTAGGACAAACTTTGTCACGACTTTCACGAATAAATGTTCGAAAATTGTTTTCCAATTCATGAGAAGCGCTAACAAAAATGGTACCGTTGTCCGAGAATATTGATTTGGGACATCCTCGATGACCTATAAATCGATAAAAGGTAGCCAGAAAATTAGAAGATGATAAACTGCTTTGGTTGTAAAGCATACAAATACACAGACATAGCCATGGGTGCTCCGACAAGCACGTCCGGCAAATGACTATGTCAAATGGGCCGGCAAAATCTACTCCAGTTGTAGTAAAGGCCCTATTGATCGAGGTCTTCTCTGGGGGGAGAGCAGCCATTATTTGAGAGCGTGATCTATTTTTGTCTAACCAACAAACTTTACAGCGGCTAATGACAGTGCGGATAAGATTTTTGATACGCGGAATCCAAAACTCCATTCGAACTGAACGTAACATAAGCTGATTTCCGTAGTGGACAGTGTGCGTGCTCAATAATAAGACGTGAAAATCGACAACCATAAGGTAAAACAATTGGGTGCTTTACACTGTGGGTCAATGTAGTAGAATTAATCAAGCGACCATTTACGCGCATAACTCCAAACTCATCTAAAAAAGGATTTAACGAAAGTAGAGAGCTGGTAGATGATGGAAGACTTTTATCCAATAGACGCTTATACTCATCTGCAAAGTAAAACTTTTGTGCCAAAATTGCTAAATTATTCTTAACTAGGCGAATTTCCTCGGAAGCTGGAATCTTACTTGAGAAACAATGTTGTGGCCAATTGCAGAAATGGGTTCTATGTATAAACCGATATATGTAAGATAAAACTCTTAACACTCTTTCCAGTGATGAAAATCGATCTAAGATATCTTCATACTTTGAGACAAAAGGAAAAATGTGTTTTCACGCTACGAGCTTCAAGTTCAGTGTCAATAGGAGTAACATTCGAAGGATACAATTGAGAAATATCTAGACTTAACCAACTAGGGCCCTTCCACCAAAGGGAGCAATTTGCAAGTTCCGAAGCAAAATGCCACGACTTCCCAAGTAAGCTGGGTTGTCTTCAGACCTTACATGAAACCAGTTATTATTTCCTACATTTTGTTGGATCTCTCTCGTACGGGGTACAAATTGCCTTGGTGAACAAGATTTATCATAGCATATTAAGGAGAATTTTGGCATTACGTGAAGTGTAAAATACTAGACGATTCAATGCTGTCGGATTGGCACCAGTGAAAGTTGAAGTAACATTATCCAAATTAGAATTGGATTGAGTACGTGGAGATGAAGGAGTAACGTTTTGAGTTGGGATGGAGGTCTGTGGTCTTCTAGTGGGTTTATGCAAAAGTGTATGGTGCCTTCCATGGCAAATATTGCAATTACGTCAACTAGAACAGTTACCAACCGAATGACCTTTAGAGAGACAATTAAAACATAACTCTTGCCTTTTCACTGCAGATAGCTTTTGATCAAAGGTTAACTTTTTAAAACGAGGACAATAATACAATGCGTGACTTTCAGTGGAGCAGAAGAAACAACGATGTTTAGATTGATTTTTCACAGTATCCGACGAAGTTTTAACCAAATGTGCCTTAACGTTGCGCGAATTTGAACTTGACGAATCAATGCCTTTTATATCACGCAAACAGGCAAGCGTTTGAATTCTTTCAGTTAGGAAAGAATCGAGCTCAGACCATGACGATAAGGACGGCTTATATTTTAGACTCTGTTCCCAGAGTGTAACAGTTAGTTTTGGCAAACGCTGAATACAAATGAAAACCAAAATTGGATCCCAATGATCCGTGACAATGTCATAAACAGACATGGCAGACAAACAGTCGTTTATGCTCCGTTGCAAGGTTTTTAGAGGTCACGAAATGTGGGCAACGACAAAAAATCTCCATGGAAATCATCAATATCACATGGTGGCAAACTGAGGTTATGCATAGGATTAGAAACGTCCGGCGGTAAACTCCAATTAGAAATTGAAATATCAGCAGGATTTTGGCTTCGGTTTGTAGACTCAAATTAGGACGAGAAGAAGATCCACTTACGATTTGTTGACGA